CCCAATAAAAACTTCTGTCTACTGGACAACCGAACCCGTGTCTGTCGTTTTCTGACAACAGGATCTGCAATATTGATCACTTAGGCAGTGAGGTGTGTGTGTAGTGCAAAAGTGAGGCCACAGACTACTGTAACTGTAAGGAGTTGGCCCATTTATGCACTTAGATTTCATTTAAGAACCTAAGTGGTAACCCATTTGCAGACATGCTGAAAGCACTAGAGGTGTCTACAAAATCTATTTTATACTGGACAAACAATACATATGTGTACCAAAGGTCAATACTTACTACAGTTTCTTTGAGAACAAGCTATCTACAACATCTTATGGAAATTTTAGATTTTTCTGCAACAGGGACCAACATATAAGCTTTGTGGTTGCAATACGTGATGTCTGAGTTGCTTCACAACATGGGAAGATCCCAATTTCATCAAATAACAATGTAACGGTAAATGTTGTTACTATCTAGTCACACAATCCAATAATTTCACCCTCAAAAATAGTTAACTCATTTATATTTCATTTTTATTGGGATTATTTAGTCAGTGCATAATTTAATGTAATATAAAGTCATGATTACAGCTTACCTATCAGCATCGTAGGATGTTATAAGTGGAGGAAAATATAAGTCGGATGCCAGGATTGTGGTATAATGATTCAAGCCAAAAAAGTCATATGTCCCTTTAATTCTTTGCTTTTCACTTTCAGTAAATTCAGGGAGCCTGCATCACACATAACACGCACATAGAGAAATAGTTTTTTTACATGATACATTTATTACAAAGGAATGGCAAGATTACATGTTATCAAATCAGATGGGCTCTGTCATTTATAATATGGTAGCATAAATTGCTATGTAGGCACTTCATCTTATCAAAAGAGCAAAAACATGGCACTGAAAATTGACATTATACCAAGAGCACCTCCACACAGGGTCTTCTAGATAGTTCAGAATCTGGCCAGTTTCTGTGCCCAGTTTCATGACTGGATCTGGAAACTGAGCCAGTTTATTGCTAGCTTTGCTGTAGTATAAATGAAACTGCAGCAATGCTAGTTTTCTCTTTTGAAGTACTGCAGCTTCCCAAACCTCATGAGAATTTAGTGCTTCCACTGGCAGGAATCCTCACCTCATTTCATTTCATCTCACCTCACCTCACCCCACCTCCCAGCTCTTTTCTCCCACTCTCTCGTCCATCATAGTTTTTTTGAGGTCACCAGAAAATAAGATATTCTGACAATTGGCTGAGGAAGCTGGCCCATAGCAAGGACCTAGTTGTTGCAAGGAGTTTTGTCAGCAAAGAGTCCTCACCACCATCCTTGTCTCTACAGATTCCCATTGCAGGAGTTGAGCAACATTCAGAAAGCTCTGCAGGGACACCAACCATCAGGCTCCTCCCGTTCCCACATTCTTTCCAAGACAATTGGTCAATACAAGAATGACTCTTTCATTTTTAACAGCTCGTACTTGGATTTCCTACCCCCCCCCATTCCTTTTCTTTTGTGAGGTAAGCCAGTGGAGAGTGATGGCCTTATTTGATTATTTTTTATAGGCTACCCTGAGAACTTTTTCAGCTGAAAAATATACTGTAAATTATGAATTAGTGACTAACTTACCTTGATTTGCCGGGGCTTCTTGCTTGTATCCTTTTTTTCATCAGTTCATTATAATCACCGGTTTTGAAAATAGGATGAGCAAACCAACCAGCAAAAAACTATGGTAGGAAATCACAAAAAATCAAGAATTACATGCACGTTCAGCAACATATTTGCAAAAAAGCAGCTCCTCAAGCCTCCTTTCCCAGAAGCCCTTTGAGTCTACACACTGTGACCTTGATGTAGCTGCTTGGTAGTTACAGTTACTGTTGCTATCACTTGTCTTCCAGGGGCACCTCACTGGTGTCCTTCTCCTAACCCTAGTCTCTGAGAGAGAGAGGGCTCCCACACCCTGTACTGCCCTTCTGCTGAATAAAAGGTAAAAATAGTAGTAGTAGTAATAGCTAGAGCTAGAGCACCAACTTCTATCCATATAGCATGGAGGTGTATAATCAGTATCAGCCCTTCCCTTCTTGGAAATAAAACAGTATCTACCATTTTTTTAAAAGTATCCCAAAATATTGGATATATATTAGATGTTCATCCTATCTTTCATTTAGGAGCTCAAGGCGCTGCTGTACGGCCAA